ACAGAAGTCATTATCTTAAAACACCTTCTCCCTAGCAAATTTACTACCCAACCTACACCTGTACCCATCCTATTCTCTTCCCCTCCTGTTAAAATAGAGATACTCTTTAGTACAAGAACAACTCTGTTCCTTTGGATCTTATCTCCTCCCACCTTTTTTGGAACTATACACCATTAATTATCCCTTCTTACAATTTCAACCTCCCTCTTTTGGATTCTTATCAATATCTAAACATATTGAAGTCTACCCCATCTTAACAAACCTGTTACAGCTTATACTATAAAGTAATTAACTATATACCACTATTGACCTAAGTATTTCATATAAGCAAATTATTTAATCATCACATTGTCCCATGACATAGGTAGTATTTTTATCTCCATTTTTTTTTAAGAGGAAACAGATTCAGAGAGATTACCTAACTTGCCCAAGATCATACAGCTGATGGATAAAATGGGATTCAAACCCAGGCAGTTTGGTTCCACAGCCTTTTCTATTCACTGCATACCCTGTTGGTCTGTTTTTATTGTCTATTGTTTCTCTAGGTTTTTTATTGCATTGTCTTGTCTCCTCATGACCTATTTCCTTCCTCCCTCCAACTTTTATTATGGTAAGTTTAAAATTTACAGAAAAGGGGCACCTGGGTCAGATGGCTGGGTGTCTGCCTTCGGCTCAGGTCATGATTTCCAGGTCCTGAGATCAAGCCCCACGTTGGGCTCCCAGCTGGCTCAGTGGGGAGTCTGCTTCTCCCTCTCCCTCTGCCTCTTCTCCTGCTTATATGCTCTTTCTGTCTGTCTCTCTCTCAAATGAATAAATATAATCTTAAAAAAAAGAAAATAAAATTTACAGAAAATCTGCAAGAATAGTATAATGAGCACCTCTATATCCTTTATGGAGACTCACACACATATCTATGTATACAAACACATACACAGGCAGTTACACATGGCATGATTCAAACTTCTGTTACCACAGTATACCAACTATAATTGCATTAAGTACAACTTCACTGCCAGAGCTTCAGTCTTCAAATCACCTTATAATTAACAGATGCCCATCATGATCAGTGACAGTGTCTAATCACAACACTTCTTTCAAAATTTGTCAATGATTGGTCACTGCACATCTGTTAGTCAGTTCAAGCACAGACAGCAAAACATGCAATTGTGTTGCCTCCTTTTCTCCCAGTGATAAATTCACATGACACTTCTTTAAAGAGATTTATTTATTTATTTTAGAGAGAGAGAAAGAGAGAGTGCAAGCGGGGCAGGGGGGGGGCGGTGTGTGCAGAGAGTGAGGGAGAGAATCTCAAGCGGACTCCGCACTGAGTGCAGAGCCCGATGCAGGGCTCGGTCTCATGACCGCAAGATCATGACCTGAGCTGAAATCAAGAGTCAGATGCTTAACTGACTGATCTCACATGACACTTTATAAAATAATATTTGAAAGAGAAAATTGGCCAAAAAAGAAAGTGCAAGAAAGAAAAGTGATAACACTGAAAGTGAAATTTGAATCAAGCACAAATGGAATTATAGAAGAGATAACATTGGGAATGTTGACACTGCTACCATTAGAAACACTCTAGATATACAGCCAGAGGAACTTACTGAATGCAGAGTTATCAAGATTAAGGAGGAAAGTGATGACACAGACTCCTACCTTTCTGCTCCAGAATCCCTAGCTTATGGATCCCATCTTTATATTTCCCACATCATGTTCACTTTTGTTTTCATCATGAGGCTCCATCTCCATTCTATGGTAGTATTCTAGGAGGAAGAAGAAGAAATGAAAGGTGTGTCTATATATGTTAAGGAAAAGAAATGCTTTTCTAGAAATCCTCATCATATGTCTAGAACTATATGCCATGGCCACTCATAAGTGTATGGGATCTTGGGAAATGAGTTTTTTGGCTAGGTACCCCGCCCCCCGCCCCCAAAGTATCAGGCTCTTTCTGAAAAGAAAGGGGCAGTAAGTAGTATCTGCTCCCCCTTCTCATATAAGGAATATTTATTCCCTCCCCAAGAGAAACAATCTCAAAGTCTTACATCCAGTTACTATAATGAGCTCAGAGTCCAGGATCCAGAAGTTCCAATGATATGGAGTACTCCCAATCAACCGTGCTCTAGCAACCAACTTTTAAAGAAAAGTTATTTGTCTCAATACTCCTAAAATAAGTAATGGTAGATAGACAAGGTACAGGATGTTGGTAAAAGTCCCATTCAGGAAAGGGGAAAATGGGAAACACACAGTAGTGACTGGTCCATAGAACATCTCCAATCCTATTGGATATCTATAGCAAGAAATCTATGCCTTTGGACAGTTAATCTGTCAGTTCCTGATTCTGTTCAGTAGGAGGACCTTCCAATTCCATTTCTTCCAGGGGTCATATTTGAGGTGGACCTTGTAGAAAATACCTTCTCTGGAGCAGTAAAATTTTAACAGTCTGAGCAGCCTAGGTCCAAGAGTGGTGAGTCCAGAATCTGGTGCCATTTTTCTCTTTGGGGCAACTGACATTCTGAAAGTCATAGTGGAAAGGCTGAGAACTAGCTAGAGTTTTCAACTGCCTCAAGGGAAGTGGTTAGGGAATGGAAGGTGAAAGATTTGTGTTCAGGGCCTGAGGAAGAAAGACTTTAAATTGGAATTCCAAAAGGCTACACCCTGGAAGTAACTTTTAACTCGTAACTTTTAACTATTAATCCCTGGACTAAGGTGATCTGCCCTTAATCCAAGGGACCCCCAATGAACAACACCTTCTCATATTTGTATTCATGGTCTCTTGTGGGCCCCTCCCACATAGATGCTGAGCTTGGTCATGTGCCTTGTTTTGGTGAAAGACACAATAAGCACGATGCAAGCAAAGGCTTGCATATAGAGGCTTGTCCTCTTGGACTGCTCCCTCTTGGAACCCTGAGATTATCATGCTGTGAGGAAGCCCAAATGAGTCCTGAGGAGAAGCCTTGTAGAATAAAACTAGGGAACCCAGCCAATAGCCAGAAGAGAGGCCCAAGACATATGGCCCTAGTTGAGCCAGGCCCAGCCGTTTGAGCCACCCCAGTTGAAGCCATAGGCATCACTAAGCAGAGATGAGCCACATGTACTATTCCCTGGCTGAATTCCTAAGCCAGAGAATCCAGAATCATGAGCAAATAAGAATTGATATTTTAAGTCACTAAGTTTTGGGATGGTTTGTACACAGCAATAAATAACTGAATCACTACTAAAAGAATAAAGAATGTAGTATTTTAATTGGTGGAAGAGAATAGAATTAAAAATATTTAATCCAGAAGAAGGCATGAGGGGCACTTGGGTGGCTCAGTCGTTAAGCATCTGCCTTCGGCTCAGGTCATGATCCCAGGGTCCTAGGATTGAGCCCTGCATCCGGCTCCCTGCTCAGCAGGAAGCCTGCTTCTCCCTCTCCCGCTCCCCTGCTTGTGTTCCCTCTCTCGCTGTCTGTCAAATAAATAAAATCTTAAAAAAAAAAAAGAAGGGATGAAATGTAAGGACCATAGAACAGATGAGACAAAGAGCAAACAGTAAAATGGTAGATTTAAACTTAGATACTTGTTTCTAGGTAACTCCATGTAGGAGTAGGCACAGACCAAGATATTGTCTTAATACAGTTTTTAAGCCTGAAAATTCTGTTTTACCTATTAGTGTCTGAATTCTTTCCATATCATTCCTATCTTAGTTGAATGGCCATGACTTGATGCAACTTGAAATAAGCCTGCTGGGGAGGTACTACCCTTAATCTATTTTTTGCTGGTGTGTCACCCAGTCTGGTTTAGAAGAGTTTAAGAAAGCTTGAAACCATTATCTCTATTATTACTGCTGCTTAGCTATTTTTACAGGCTTTCATGTTTTGTAAGGTAATAGTTGACTTTTTCAACCCAGAAAGTCTCCGAATTGTGGAATTCAGTTTAGATTTCAGACCACGGGCAGAGACCATCTCTTTGCAAGCTGTGTTCCCTTCTCCCTTTCTGCCAGCTGTTGGGGATATAGCCATAATTAACTTTGAGCAAAAGGGTCTTTCTCCTCCGATATATAGTGATTATATGAATTTAACGAGGTGGTTCTTCCTCCACCACTGAAAGGCTATTCAGTATAGGAAGGGCTTACCATCCAAGACATTTTACAATCCAGAAACTATAGCAAATTCACGTGCGGTGTATATTTTAAAGATGAGTACAAGGTGCTCTGCAAGTTCCATGAAGGCAGGCATGGCATCTGAGCTGATCGGGGCCGTAGCCTAAACCTAGCTGCATGCCTGGCACACAACAGACACTCAAATATTTGTTAAATGAATAAATTAGTCACTACGGTACTTAAGAGCTTTCCAGGACATACTCGCGCTTTTACTGTCAAAGCGCCAAAGCCAGGTTTCCCTTCTGTTAGGCTACGTTTCCAGTCAAACAGGCGCACCTGTGACCGCGTCGGGTAGGCTGCAGACCCGGGTGCGCTGCTGGGCCGACCCGTCAGGCATGGGGCGGGCGACCCCGTCTGGCCGCAGCGGCGGTAGCAGTCGTTTGCCTCCTCTCGGCATTCCGCGGCGTCAAGGGCAGGAGGCGTCTTACGAGGAGGCAAATAAAGCCAACCGCACAGAAACGGCTCGTTCCGTTTCACATCCTCTCTCGGGTGCCTGGGTGTCCTCGGAACACAGTGACCCTCCATGTGTCTGCAGGCAGGTAGAGCCTGCCCCACGCGTCACACACTTCCCCTCCTCACAGCCGCGCGCTCCCCAACGCGCGTACACCTGGACCCGCCGGTACCCAGCCGGCGCGCGGAAGGACACGCCCCCCTCGCGGGAGCACGCGGCCGCCGCTCGCACACTTCGCGCACCTCCCTGAGAGCGAGCGCGCACGCGCACGTGGGGCGGGCCTCCTTCCCGGCACCCACTGAGCGCCCGGCCCTCTCACCCCACCCCTCTCCCCCGCTGCCCAGGCTCCGCCTCCGCGACGGGGCAGCCGAGAGGAGGCGACCGGAAGCCACTTTAAAGCAGAGCTCGGGGTGACAGGCGAGCGAGCTGGATCGGGAGTGCGGTCGCGGCTTTCTGCACTCCGACGGCGGAATGGCCCGTGCGCTGCTTGTCGCGTCTCCGGCCTGCGACCCTTAGACGCCCAAGCCCGCTCTCCGCGCCAATCCTCCCGCGCGGACGCTGCCAGCGAGCCGGCGGTGCGGCGACTCGGCTCCTGCGGTCCGTTCTCTCAGGCTGCGCGATCAGGTAAAGGGCTCCGAGTGGGCTCTGAGGGGCGGACAAGAGACCCTAGCTGGGATGGCGGGCGCGGACGGGGGCGCCGGCCTCGCAGCCTCTCAGGGATCTAGGGTGATTGATATTTAGACTGTGCTTTTTTTTCTACCGAATTTACTCGGATCCCGTCAGTACCGGGATGGGATTGGTTTACACTTCTTAATCACTTACGGCCTCGGGCAGGTGTATAAATTGGAGGAAGACACTGAAGGGTTTAGTTGGGGTCGCCGGCGTCTCCGCGATCCCACTTGGTCTGGGTGGGCGCGGGGGGCGCGTCTCTGCGGCCTCCCCCGCCGGGCGGACCCCGAGCGCTCTGAGGCGGAGGAGCACTTCGTAGATTGAGGGGCCGGGCACAGGCATCTGAGGGGAGCCTTCCGGCAGACCCGCGTTCTGGCTGCAGCCCAGAAGTTTGCAGGCTGTTTTCAGATCAACTTTGAAGGCGCAGAAGACTTCGCCTTCCTCGCCGCACCCCGAGAGGCGCGGATCGCGTTTCCCCCTGCGCTTCTCGGCTTATTTCTGTGAGCCTCCGAGACTCGCAGGACGATCCTCTCAGAAAGGTCGGTTGAGGAGACGAGGAAGAAATTAACTGTGGAAGGCGCCGTGAGGGGTTTCTGGGATGGAGGGAAGCGTGGGCGGGGGTCGCTTGTTGGGACGAGGCTGCAGCGAGGGTTCGGGGGCGCTCTGGTGCCTTCCGAGGGGGAAGGAGGAGGTGGGATGCTTCGGAACGCCGGGAATTGGCCGAGCCGGGCGGCGCCTCGGCTGCGCTGCGCGGAGTTGGCGCGGCCTGGGGGGCGGAGCTGCGAAAACCGCCGCGGCCGGCAGGAGGCGTCTCTCGGACCCGGGCTGGGCGTCCGGGAGTCGCGCCGCGGCTGGTGGGCGAGAGTCCTGAGTTTGCAACGGTGGTTTCTGTGCCCGGTGCCAGGGACCGGGAGTGCCGGAGGACGGGGGATATCACGAGGCGAAGGGTGGAGCGGTAGGTCGCCTGCAGCGGGGGACCGGAGGAAATGTCCGTCCAATCTTTATTTTTCTGTTATGCAAACTAATTGAGGAACTAGGTTCTAGTGACTTCCCCACTCCAGCCACTCCTCAGTTCTCTGCCTCTTCCTCAGTTTTATTTCCGAGCCTGACGGAGCGCAATAACAGGAAAAGTTACAGTGTGTGTGTGTGTGTGTGTGTGTGTGTGTGTGTACACACCCCTAGAAATAAAATTGGTTCAGTGTCTGTTTTCCCTTGATTGGATGTGATAGGAGTGGCGTGTGCGTGTGTGTGTGTGTACGCGCGCACACGCGCGCGCGCGCGACGGAAGGCACAAGCGGGTTTAGTGTGGTGGAGAGGGAATACCACAATCTGTGCCAATTGTGCCTTGAGGCAAGAGCACCGAATGATGAATAATAACGCCTGGCTTGGCTGCTTTCCAGTTGATTTATGTCTTATGTCAAGTCCCTCCTTGTGAAGCTTTCCCTAACAATGCCAGCTCACACTGAACTCTTTTTCTGCCTTTTTCTTTTGTACTTACCGTGTGCACTAACACCTGGTTATATACAGTTGAGCATTGAAAAAAAGGGGTTTGAACTTTGCAGCGTCGCCTATATGCGGATTTTGTACAGTACTATAAACATATTGTCTCAGTAACGTTTTCTTTTCTTTAGCTTTGTTGTAAGAATACAGTGTATAATACATATAACACGAAACATGTGTTAATCAACTGTTAATTCTGGTCAACAGTAGGCTATTAGTAATTAAGTTTTGCAAGAGTCAAAAAGTTACAAACGGATTTTTCCAGGGGTGGGTTCCCTGAACCATCCCCACTCTGGCCTTGTTCAAGGGTTAGCTGTACTGTTTTGTTTATTTCTGAGTTTGATCATTATGAACTTTTTATATGTAGATTCATGAATCTCTCCAATGAGATCTTTAATATTCATTTTTCTGGGGAATCAGTTTTATCGTTTTGTTGTTGACCTGTAAAGGCTAACAGAACTAGTCATGTAACAGGTGCTTTTTCTTCAGTGATTCAGTTAAAAAATAGTATAGAGCACCCACCGTGTGCATTGTGCTAGGCATGGTACTGATCACCTGGGAGGAGTATTTGATGAAGTCATGGGCCCTTGCATCAATGATCTCTTTTTCTTTTAGTCAGTTGGCCAAGAGAGAAGATTAACTGCTCTTTACCAGCTCTTCCACCTCGTACAATGCTTAGTAAATATTTTCAGAATTGGTTAATGAATGTTAGCTTGTGGAGGAGACACCATTTGTCATTTTACAAAGTTTCCTTTGCTTTTTACTTTAAGTTTTAGTTTTTTTCAAGGGGTCTGATTCTTTGAAGAGAGCACTTTTTTTTTGGTCTCAGTAGTTCATTAGGAATCTGACATTTAGTGTGTGTTTTATATTCTTGTATTTCTCTATAATATGCTTTCATTTGTTTTAATAGATAAAATCATATATGTAACTTTTCTGAAGACAAGGATAACGAGGCCCTTTCTGAATTATGAAGTTGTGTTTGGTTTCTAAGACAGCGTATAGTGTTTGCTGCTGTTAGGTAGCTTCTGTTGCTAAACAAGCAACTGGTATACTTCCTCCAATAGTAGTAATGTTTTGGGGATTGTAAAAGTAGACCCTTAACATCCTCAGGGAATATATTAGAATTTAGAAATGCTTCAACATGCTCCTGGCTTTCTCTCATATAACATTTCAATTGAGAGCACCTGTTTCTTGAATATATCTTTATACTTTAAATTCACTCACTATTTAACTTGGAATTTTATCCTTCATTTGGTGAACTTTTTTTTTTTTTTAACAAACAGGTTTTATCACCTCGTGGGATAGGTGATAAACAACTCTGAAGAGAACACAAAGCAGAGATGTGGTTTCCGTGTTGTCATCTATTAGCCACACTTATTTCTACCCCTCACCCCCCAACACACCCTAGACTTACAGTAAAAATTCATACCCCAGCAGAATTACCAATTGTATATTGTCCACAAATAAATATCAAGAGCCTACTGGAAGGTACTGTCTCTTTACCTTTACCTGCTGTGGGCTTTTGAATAGCCTTGGCTGCTTTGGAGCCTTAATTTCTCAATAAAATTTAAAATTGACCCATAAAGATGAAATATGGTATAAGAGGAGTGACTTCAGGGACTTAGACTAAAACAAAACATTTTGATGAAGGAATGGGAACCAGTTGTTGTCAGCTTGTAAGTGATCATCTTCTTTCCTTTCCTGGTAGGATTTTTAGACTCTGAGGAGCAATTGGAGCTAATCCACACCATGGAAATGGAAACCACCGAACCTGAGCCAGACTGTGTAGTGCAGCCTCCCTCTCCTCCTGATGATTTTTCATGCCAAATGAGACTGTCTGAGAAGATCACTCCATTGAAGACTTGTTTTAAGAAAAAGGAGCAGAAGAGATTGGGAACCGGAACCCTGAGGTCTTTGAGGCCAATTTTAAATACTTTGCTAGAATCTGGCTCACTTGATGGTGTTTTCAGATCTAGAAACCAGAGTGCAGATGAGAGCAGCTTACATGAACCTATAGTGAAAAAACCCCTGGAAATCAGTCCGTCATGTCCACCAGCAGAAAATAGTATGTCTGTCCTGATTCCTGATGGGACAGGTGTTGGGGGCCAAATACCAGAAGCCCATCCTTCCACTGATGCTCCAGAACAAGTGGTTCCAATCCAGGATCACAGCTTTCCACCCGAAACTCTCAGTGGGACAGTGGCAGATTCTACAGCAGGGCACTTCCAGACTGACCTTTTGCATTCAGTTTCAAGTGATGTTCCTGCTAGTCCTGACTGCATAGACAAAGTCATGGATTACATTCCAGGGGTTTTCCAAGACAACAGTTTTACAATTCAGTACATTTTGGACACCAGTGATAAGTTGAGTACTGAGCTCTTTCAGGACAAAAGTGAAGAGGCTTCCCTTGACCTTGTGTTTGAGCTGGTGAACCAGCTACAGTACCATACTCACCAAGAGAACGGAATTGAAATTTGCATGGACTTTTTGCAAGGCACTTGTATTTATGGCAGGGATTGTTTGAAGCACCACACGGTCTTGCCATATCATTGGCAGATCAAGAGGACAACTACTCAGAAGTGGCAGAGTGTATCCACTGATTCCCAGGAGCACTTGGAAAGATTTTACTGTAATCCAGAGAATGATAGAATGAGAATGAAGTATGGGTATGTATTTATAACTACTTTAAAGCTGTTGTTAAATCCTGTAGAGAAGGTCAAGAGGCTAAATGCTTAGTAGGGTGGTTTCTTTCAGTAGTAACCTAACAGGTTTTATTCTTTTGGCTGTATGCTATCCTGATTTTTCATGTTGGTTGAATGCAGACTGTTTACCTAACCAGACAATGAAGGTTTTATGATTTGAACAATTCAGATGTCACTCTGTGCACTGTGTGTGTGCCTGAGAAGTTGCATATACATTGAATGCTGTGAATCAGATACTGTTTTAATCACAGAAGAGATCTTGCTTTTGAAAGAAAATCCAAGGTTAATCTTATAATAGCATAAATAATGAATACCAAATTTATCTATTTTGAAGTTTTGCATATTGAGTAGCTGCTGTTTTTTAAAGGGAAATGGTATTGTTTGGAGATTTTTGTGGCCCTCTTTCCATTTTGAATGGTACGGTTTTTCTGTGTACTTCCCAAACTTCTGAATCATGCCCAAACATGTTAAATATCTTTTGGTTTCCTTAAAGCTTTTTACCATTAAATTTATTATTCTATTTATCTTACAGATAAGATTGTTCTACAATTCAGGCTGTTTTCTTAGACCTGAATAATAAGTTGGAGGGAAAATTTATGTTAATAGATATGTTTATCATTTACATAAAAAAATTATCCTCAAGTTTTTGTATGCAAGGCATGTACATAAATAATTCAGTTCTTTTAAGTGTGTATGCCCAAGCAATAGTCAGTCATAGGGAATTGAAACTTCCACATCTGAATTCCTATTTAATTAACATAAAAATGAAGAGGAAAATGATAGTTGCCACTTGTGAAGTCGCTAGTGTAATAATGGTGGTATAGTAAGCATTAATCTTTATGTTTCTGGTTGTTTCTCCTATAGTATAGGAGTTAAAATACGTGATATTAATAGCTATTTGTCTATGACCAAGAGAAAGGATTAAAATTATATGAGGGGAGAAGAATACATCTGTCCATGCTACCTGACTTGGGAGACAGTGAGGGCAACCTGACAGCTTCACAGATGATGAATGGCCTGATGTAGTATGGAAAGGTATGACCCTTAGGAAGGAAAAATTTGCTGAGTATCCTAACCCACAAGTCCAAGAGAAACCCTTTTTTTTTCCTTTTAGATTTATCTATTTTAGAGCGAGCACGCACACATGCACAGGTGTGGGGAGTCTGGGAGGGACAGAGGGAGACAGGGTTTTAAGCAGACTCCGTGCTGAGCTGGTGGGGCGTTGGATCTCATGACCCCAAGATCACAACCTGAGCCTAAACCAAGAGTAGAGCACTTAACCAACTGTGCCATCCAGATGCCCCCAAAAGAAACACTTTAAGAGTCATCTTTGTTCATTGTTCACAGATAACTTGGGTTACACTAATCCAAGTGTCTGGAGAGTCAGCAATCAAATGGTGTCAGTAAACCATTTCTAAGTTGTCTAATTTTGTTAGTCTTGATGTTAACCTGTGTTCAACGTAGTGCCAGGGCATTGTTGACATCGTAGAAACCAGGTTTTTGTTTTGTTTAAACTTGCTCCCTTCTAATATTAGGTAAGTGTTTTTCTCTTAATAGTGCATTATTTCAGTTGTATAGTACACAGATTGGTGTGTCTTTTTAGCAACTTAATTATCATGAAACTAGAACTTTGCATCTTGTGTTTCAAAAGGGATGCATGGAACAAGATAAACACTATAAGACTAAACTTAAGGCATTATTATATAGGAGCCCCTTGGGATAAAAGTAAGATAATAGCAAGAATGTAGCTTAAATCATGGATGGCTCAGTCGGTTAAGCATCCAACTCTTGGTTTTGGCTCAGGTCATGCTCTCACAGTTGTGGGATTGAGCCCCTCATTGGGCTCTGCGCTCAGTGCAGAGTCTGCTTCAGATTCTCTGTCCCCCTCTCTCTCCCTCTCTCTCAAATAAATAAAATATTTTTAAAAAAAGAATGTAGCTTTCTAATCATTAATGTATTATCTTGGTAATATTAGGTATTCAAGATTCTGTCTTGCTTGGGTAGCAAAATTCTTAGATCCTGTAATAAAGCTAAGTACTTTTTTTTTTTTTTTTAAAGCAAGCATTGGAGGAAAGAAAAATGTTTTCCATTTTATCTCAAAAATCTTTTAATAAGGTATTGTCCAAAATCTGTATTGCCCATGAGCTAGCAATTCTAATTGGTATGTCAAGGTAATTAATTTTATATACTCTCAAAGCCACTGTAATCCTTCCATCTCCAGATTGCAAAACTGCAGAATAGTGGCCTCCCACTTCACTCTTATGAAGCAAATTTCCAGTCTGCTGAGTACTTCAGCATCTTGGTACATTAAGTTTCTATCTGTTTGAATTGGTCAGGAAGAAACTAGCAGGATTATTGTCCAACACATTACATTCTGTTACCATGAGCAAGGCAAGACAGGTATTTTGATCTCAAAAAATCCAAGAACTCTTAGGTCAGGGGCATATTGGGTATTATATTCTTTGGTAAAATTATTTGGCTAAAAAATTAGACCTAGATATAAACCCATAAGTATACGTTGTTGGATTAGTTATAAAGTAGTTGGAGTGAGTGCTTGATTTCCAAATTTGTTTTAATGAAACTAACATTCATTTGACACTTGAGAGGAAAAGTATGAGTGAATTATTGTAATTACTAATGCTGCTGCTACATTGTTAATGATAGTAAGTGGTCCTGCTCTGATAAAAATAGCAAAATATTAACAGTTAATTACTAGTAAAGTGACGTTCTCCATAGACACCAGTAAGAAATAAGATTGTAGATAGCTAAGTGTCAAAAATTAGGCTTTTGGGAAGCTGACCTGTGGTCATTGCAACCTGGTTTTCCTTGTATTCCAAAACGATGTTGTGTTTCCTGGCAACAAGATGCAGATAACGGCATGTTGAGCCTTGCTGAGAGATTCACAAACAAGCTGGAGCAGCCCAGGTTCACATGGTTACCACATTATTTGGCTAAAGCTATTAATCTCTGTGGTCAGGCCTGTAAAGCTGGTCTATCTGTACAGATTGCACATAACCAGGAAGTGTGTGTTCAGCTGTGTATATGCCCAAGTCTGGCCCAGCAGTCTTTGGATTCAGAAATAATGAATGGCAATTGTTTATCCCACTTGTTTCCAGCAGTTTATATGACTTGGAAAATCATTATTATATACCATATCCCTGTTACTTCACTGTATGGAACTTGGGGAGATTCATAGTTCTGGGTCTCTAGTAGAGGCTAAAGTTCATAGTTTCAAACTGTAGAGATAAAATTCTTTGTTTTGCAAATGTATTGGATTTAAGATCTAAATTAATCCAAATTAGATGTGCAGTGTTCATTTTATTCTCAAGAAGGAAATTGGAAAGGAAGTTTAGCTAGATAAGGTCACAGGTCCCTTCCAAGTCTTTAGTCAAGATCCCTAGGTACTAATAACATTTTTTTTTTAAAAAAGAGGATTTCAATAGTTAAGCTTATTTGGTTCATTATAATGAAATTATTTTAATTATTCTTTTCCAATTTTGTCTTTATCCCAAAGTATGATACAATCCCACTTTGCTTTCTCACTCTGCCCTTATATATCTCCAGATATTTATTGCTGACATCAACTGGTAACTAGTTGTATGTATGAACTCCCCATATTTAGATGCCAAGGCTTCTTTTGCACACGGGATGGGCTTAGGAGAATTTCCAAATTCCAAATACACAGTTAAGAAAACAACATTGAATGTTGTGTTTTCGATTAAGAAAACACGGTCTCTGACAATTTAAGCACTCATCCTTAGTAGAAAATGATACTAAATGGCAGGACTAAGCAGTTTTGAAAGAGCTTTACTAACTGTATAGAATACTGTCCTGGATAATTGAAATTGTGAAGGATGTGCAAATTTCTCTTTAGCAACTGAGATCACCACTGTTTTTCATATTATATTCATGTTAAAGTGTGCCAGAATACAGAATAGTCTTCTAGTTACTACCACCCGTGAAGGAAAGGCACTCTGCAAACTTTATTTGTAGGTAATCTGTAGGTGAAAATAAGTCCCAAGTTAAGTGATTATTTCTAATCCTGAATTCCTGAAAGAGGAGGAGGGTGAAGAAAGTTGCAGAAGACTAGACTCCATGGTTAATTTTTCTCAGAGGCCAGTGTTCTTTTTCTCCTTTTGGAATTAAAGCTTATTGATATGAGAGGGAGTTTTATTAGTTTATGGTTTAAGCCTAGAGTGGTGTTACAGTCTTACTTTTGACTGATTTTGATTGTTAATTGCTCTTAGAAAGTTGTTTTTGTTGTTTTTTTTTTTTTTTACTCTAAGGGACAATACCATTAGATGACTTCACAGAACTCCATGAAAGAAGACAGGGAGAAGTGCTATTAATGATAATATAGGGCATATGCTGCTATTTTCTATTTGACTTGCAGAGTGGATTATCTAAAGTAGAGCAAGCTCCTGACTGAACTATACTGGAATAGTTAAATTAGCCAAGTTAGCTCTGGCCTGCACAGCTGTGATGATATAGGAACTAACTCATTATGTGTTATTGATAACACTGGAGAGAGTAGAACAGCTGAAACTTACTATGCCTTGTGACTTTTTGGTATTTCTTGAATATACACAGCTGGATGAGTTTGAATTTATTTTAAAAATTCCTGCCTAAGAGAAAGAGAGAGCTCCATAAGCAAGAACTGTGTTTGAAGTGACTTTCAAAATGTGTGCCTTCTGCTTTAGGATAAAGCAATCCAATGAATTATTTTCTGTACCTCTTTATGCTCTATTTACATATGAAATAAAACTAATTGGCTTCTTTCTATACTAATCCAGAGAAGTTACTGGGTCTCTGTAGAGCTATCATGGGAATCAATAGCAATCATCCATTTATTCCCTTTCTGGGTTTTTGTTAATAAGCAGATTAGACTTTTTGAAGCAGCTGTCACCTGGCTTCAGGTTAGGGTCAGTCTGTTCCTGAAGTATTTACAGTAATGAAAATGAACC